GAGCGATAATGAGCGGAGCAGTCTGCAGTGGCTGGGGGGGGGGGGGGGGGGGGGGGGCGGGGGCTATCCGTCAGCAGCTTAATCGCCTAGTTCTTGGAATGCGCTAATTGCTTTCGGAGGGGGAGAGGACCCGTATGGAGCGGGATGCTACATTTGACACGGCGGGGGTGTGGTTCCATACGGCTACGGGTGCGATAGGTGAGCTTCTGACAGAGAAGATGGATACATAAAGATCTCTACTGCACGTTACATAAATCCTGTCCCGTGTCCTTCTTTTATCCTCTCCCTCCCACCTCCTCTTCCGCCACCGTCGACATATCTTCCATCCCCGTGCTGGTTTTCAAAGGGCCTCGAAAGTCTTTCTGAGTGCAGAGTTGGAGAGCAGAGAGCCAGATCTTACTCTCGGATACCTCGGCGAGGCGCGGGACGTTCCAGGGGTGCTCGTGCGATGGAAACCAGAGGGCATGATTTGGGAGAGGCAGCCAGGTCAGGTGAGTGATGGCTCTCTCACCAGGAAGATGGCAGTCTCTAGGGGTGTGTGTGTGTGTGTGTGTGTGTGTGTGTGTGCGTGCTGACGTGTGCAGTGCGCGGAGGCATGCCATGGCCTTCACTGCTCTCTAGTGAACTCCGATGCACGAGGCAAGGTGTCTCACGGCACCAAACAATGCTCTTTATTAGAGACATGAGAAGATTAAGCAAGCAGCTAGGTTAGTTCCAAGAACCTGTAGATGTGAATGATTGTCAAATCTTCTGACAGCAGATCACTTTCCCCCACTACAAACAAAAGAAAAAACCACTGTATGGTAATCCAAGTTGTTTCTGTTTAATACGTCTCTTCATCATCGCTACTCATGAGACTGATGGTTGAGGCAAACAGTAAGATAAAAATTGTTTTTTTTCAATACAGCAGCCCCCTGCATTGTGATTTATAGAAACTTTGGGACTTCAAAAATGACCCTGCAAAAATTTTTAAAAAGCAGATGAACTTGTTGATTATATAGAAATTACAATTGAATTGCAAATGCAAGCCTTGTAAATGAATGACTTTCACCAATGAGAAAAAAAAAAAACACTAAAAGTTTTGCCAAGAATGAAGAGATTGAATTAGATTGAGGAGATTGAATCGCTTACTGTCTCAAGCCACTGACAACGGGGAACGATTGCAGTGGGCAGGTAATCTAAAGAGAATTATTCAATTAAAATTGGGGTCAGGGAAGCCACTGCAGCCGTAAGCAAAACTGCTTTGAGTCGGGCAGGAGCGGCCGTGAGTCACCGACGGAGGAAACTAAGAAGAGGGATCTCATGATAGGAAGAAAACAAACCAGACTCACTGCTGCTGGAGAAGATCTTAAGATCTGAACGGTCAGGCCTTCGAGAGGATATTGAGAGAAATGGTTTATCTTAGCATTAGGAGGCTGTGAGGAACAGAAAGGTGAATCAATAGAGAAAAAGTAATAGTGTTGGCGGTGATAGATAACATGTAAGTCCATTTGGGGCAAAACTCAGACAGACCCTAGACACAACATCTGGCTATCCTGGCAGTTTTACCAGTGGAATTTAAACCCTGAAACAAAATTGTATTAGCCGATAACAATCTGTGGTCTAGTATTCCTACATTATCAGCTATGTTGAGTAAAAATATTACTGTCAGGGTAGCAGTCATGTTGCTACTGTCATCTTTGGCCCAAAGTGTGGTTAATAAAATATTGTAAATCTAGCAAGTAAACCCAGAGTTTAAGAGAAAATAGAATTGGACCCTGTATTGATCCCTGAAGAACCCCTTGAGAAAGGTGCTAATGAGGAGAGAGGTCACTGCTTTAGGTATTTCTCTAAGGTTAGTCAACGTGACGAAATTATACACCTTACTATACCACTTAACACATTTCTAGTTTAGCAATTACTTTCGCTTTATGATTATGCAGACAAATCACATATCTACTCTATAATTAATTGAGGAAATGAGATATGGAAATTAACCACCTATTCAGATTGAATAGCACTTAATATAGTGAATATTTAAGTAGAGTTATGTGTCAAACTAGGGAAACATTAGACAATGTTGAACTGTCAGATGTTTATTTTGAATACACAGATAAGACAATGTGCATCTGTAAAGTACAATGCACTATTGATGAATGTCATTGTACAGCATGTGTGTGCAAATAAGTGTAAGTGAATATCCATATCTTAACGATTCCTCTGTTCCATTCTTTGAAAAGCAAAAGGAACAGTTTTCCCCCATAACGTGATACCCTGCTGTTCACCGAAGAGGCAGCTAAGCTCCGAGAAAAATGTCAGCCGCACGTCGGTAATTCGGTGCTGAAAATATGCCGATTCTTGCATGAATTCATATGGACATACACGCTTGTAGTGTGAACCCCAAGCTCTGCAGTAACTAAACCAGGAGGATTGGAGGAGCATCTGTAAGACACTACATCCCTGGACATTCATTAATGCTGTCATCCAGGAAAAATCACTCCGGATCCTAGCATACATTATTCCTGCCGCTGACAAAAGGTAATAAATTGACATAGGCCACACTTTTATTTATACAGGTTATTTCTAGATGCTGACGGAAGGAAGGCATTGCTTGTAAGCATACCCCATTTCCTCTCGTGTTTCCGATGAATCTGCATCCCCTGCCCTGGTATTTAAGACATTTCAGTGCATCCCGGCCCATAGAGAGGCATATGGCTACAGCCAGGAGCTGAATGTTGAGTAGGAGGGGCAATGTCAATTAGGAGACGAATGTTGAGTAGGAGGGGCAATGTTGAGTAGGAGGGGCAATGTCAATTAGGAGCCGAATGTTGAGTAGGAGGGGCAATGTTGAGTAGGAGGGGCAATGTCAATTAGGAGCCGAATGTTGAATGTTGAATGTCGACTGTGAGGGGCAGTGTGGAAGGGATTTATAACGAGGGGCCTGTTATCATGTGATACCATAACCCTCTTTATAAACCCCTTCTACCTCTCATGATAAGCCCCTCCCACTCGACATTGCCCCTCACTCTCAACATTGCCCCTCCCTCTGACACTCAGCTCCCAGCCACAGCGACATATACTTTGGTCCGTACGGCAGAATGAACCCCTTTCAGGCTCAGTGGTTAGATGTTACCTAATGTTACCCTCATTTAACCTTTGTCTTGATTTGTTAAAAGTAAATAACAAACACAAGCTCCATAGTTACAGGCCGAAGAAAGCAGCATAACAACATTTACCTACTGTATTATTTACCTGTTATTTGTTCCCGCCTAAATTTAAGGCTTTAACGATGGGCTCTTATCATTTTCTTTTATTCCTGCAGCAAATTACAGGTACGGCACATAATCATTTATTGCCCTGTGCTAATATTGCAGATGCTAGGCTTTTGTTAATTGTTTAGTGAGATTAAAGGTGAGAATTTACTGCGTGGCGTGGTGCTGAAGTCCCGTATGGACTCGGTCTGTTAGACGATCTCTAATGGAAAGTCGATTAGAGGGATAGCATATATATTTAAAGGATATTACAGACTGACTAGAAGTAGGATGAATGAAAATTAATTCATTGATTTGGATGTTTTTTTTTTAAAGTACAAATAGTCAGTCGCTCTTTAGTGGTGAAGCTCTGGAGGTATCAGGCTGTGTTATCAAAGTGAAAAAAAATATGTGTTTATAGCTTATGCACATAAATAACACATAAATACCTAACCAGTCTGTTCTCAATGTTGGTGACCTTGAAAAAAGAACCTGTATCTTTAGCAACTGTGATAAAGTGATAGGCTTTGGAAGGCAGAGCAGGTTCTGGGGAGTGTTTTGAAAAAGGCCGGCAGGTTTGTCTATAAACATCTAGACGCCAAGCTGCGAGGCACGTGGTGCCGTTGGGGACCCATAAAGCTCGGGCAGATGGCGTGTGCCGAGACTTCACTATTTACATCACATCAGGAAAGCACTTAGCACGATGGATGCCTGAAAACTTTCAGCGTGACATATTGTGCTACAGAACAAACAGATTGTATCCAGTGTGCATAATCCGAATTGCTACGACAATCAATCGGACCAGCATAATCAATGCATTTAGCGTTCTTAGTTATCTGAAGATAGATTGTGCTCTTTTATCATATTTTGAATCATAGGTAACTTTGAAGATATCTATCCTTCTTTATCACTCATTTTCACTCAATCTTATTATCGTGCCATAATACAGAATGTCGTTTTCCTGATTGAAATGTTTTTGAGGAGTAATGGAAACATTTGTACTGAATGTATAAGTTCATTTGTCAGTTACTGATCGCTCTCCGTGACTTTCAAGCCCTGTTAGACCCTCTCTGTTCCACCTTTGTCTCTTCCAGTGAAAGAGTCACTTCATAATTGGCTCTCCTGTTCCCCGGCAGGTGCGATCTTGACTCCAAAGATGCCAATTGTGGAGCTCAGCCTCGGTAAGTGTGATCCTCTTGATATGTCTGGCATCTCCACTGGCTCATTCCATACCCCTGGGTCACTCATGCATGTTCCCCTGATTTGTTAGATATTAAATCTCTATCGAGGACAGATTATAACCATGCTGGTCCCCCACTATCTGTTAGTGGCACCTACAGTCATGTACTGTAGAAAATCAGGCCAAACTTGACGGGCATTAATTTGGTGTCTCGGAACTGCTGTGAACTCTATTTTTGGCTCATGCGGGAACGGCGAAAGGTCTTCCCTGGCTGCAGGGAGGATGACAGGTCTGTGGCGGTCCTCTGATCCTGTGTTCTGAACCAGCTCTTCCTCGCTGATTCCCCGGGGGCAGGACACCACCATTGCTGTGATGTGCACCTCACCCCCACTTGGATCTCCAGCCCCTTCGGCAAGAGCGTACATGTAACTGGGTCGTTTTCGTTTCTTTCTTTTTTTTTGACTCTTTGGGAGATTTTCAGCATGTCGTCGAATACCATAGAGGCCAGGTCATATTAGGCAACAGCTAGAGGTAGATCTTTGGGTTTTACCCTCCTCCTGTTGTTGTGGCTAAATTGCGGTTCGGGGAATGGGACCAGCAGGCCTACTGAGTGGCTTTAATGGAATGACTGGACACGCTGTCCTCTGATTGGCTGTCAGTCTCTTCAGTGATGCTTCAGATTATTACGATTCTGGTGACTTTAACCCTCGGCACCCCAAAAGGGCCACAAACACGTCACGACGGAAGTGAACGTCACGCACTGGGCTCAGCCCTAACTGGGACCGAAAGTAAACAGGAGCAGATGGCAGAAAAAACCGGCATGCAATAAATCACGGAAAAATAACTCCCCTACGAGGCCACACTGGACGCGGTCTGTGCGTATAAATCAGTGGGAGAAGCCAAAGGAGGGACCGAGGGCTGCCATCTCTCTCGCAAACCGCCGTATCGCTGGTGGTGGTCTAGAGGGACTGGAACCATAGAAGAGAGGGTTCGACACACCCAGGGTTTGAGGATTTTGACGTCATTAGACAGAGGTGGAGAGCTGGGAAGCCGCTTTTATCATCTTGATATATCTGTGGTTCTATTTTAGGAGGCTGATCAGTTCGCATGTTCCGGAAGAGTAAAGAAAACCGTAAAAACAATGAAAAATGACTTCCTCCTCCACTGTGCAGGAAAATGATTTTAATCTGAGGGTCCCGGTGGCACCATTAAGTGTCAAGGGTAACAGACCAGTCATGCATGTCTGACCATGCCTTTGGCAATGCCTGTGGAAAAAAAATTATATTACGTTAAATGTATACAGTGCTTCACAAAATATTGTGTTAACAATATTCAGAAACACAGAACATGGAGTAATAGACCCAGAAACAGATCAGGGGTGTAGGAACAGGAGGGGATAGATGATATGTACCCCTGGTATTTAATTTGGTGTCATTCACCCCCCATTAAGTAGACCTTTATCTATTCATGCATTTTCTGTACCCACTTGTTCTGTGCAGGGTTGCAGGGCAAAGTTCTGAGGGCAGAAGGAAAAATGATTGGTTCCTAGCCAATCAGGTTGTACAGGAGGTCGGTTCAAGCAACTAGAGGAGGCGGGACCAACCAATCAGATATATGAAGGGTCAAATTGAAGGGAGCGAGAGGGCTGGACAAGAGAACGCAACTTTTTTCCCTCCAAAAACCAGGGATGTTCACGTCAACAATATTTGTTACAGGTCTTCTGGGGGACTTCGTATTAGCTGTGGCAGGTGTACGGTAATTTACGATGATTAATGTGCTGGTTAATTAAGGTAAGAGATAAATAGGGAGCTGTTAAAACTTTGGCATTGTAAAGGTGGGTAAGGCAGGTATGCGTTTATTACTGTGACGTCCTGTGTATTTATAAGGGCTGGAAATGACGCTTGGTCCATCTGGCAGCCTCAGACGCAGATCCTGTCATACACAGGATGGATGTTTTCGTGAAAGGAGGCAGCGTTCGGACGCGTGCTTGAATTACAACTGGAACGCAGAGGCTTCCAGTGAGCTGATTTACTTATAGGACCTGCATGGATTGCTGGGAGTGACCACTGCACTAAGCATCCCCCCAATCCAGTGAGGCATGACCTTCTGGAATTAAAAGATCCTGAAACTAATAGATGGAAATCAGACGGTGAGAGATGATGGTATTTCCTAAACTTTACGGTATACACAAAAAGAACGGCCACATAAGAGTAATTGCCAGAATTTTACTGCACTAATACGCAGAGTTTAAAAAATTAATTTTACGGAGGAATATATAGAAAATATGGCAAAGTACTTGCATCATTAGACCTTTTTCCATGATAATAATTCGGGCCATGTTTTGAATTCACTGTAAATTAATTTTAGCCTAATTCCGAATCAGGTTTTTTAAGAGTGCGAACATGCCCCACGTCGGGAGAAATTAATTATGCCAGATAAGGTTCTAATTAACATGGGGAACGAGCTTCCCTGTGCTGGGCTTTGCAGCACTGTTTCTGGGACACAAGTGTGAGCGACTCGTCGGAATGTTTCGGAGAGCGAGCAGCCCCAGCACTACAGCGACTCCTTTGGTGTGAATCTTGCACTGCAGCTCTGCTCCATTCCCCGGAGTGAGAAGCAGTGACTGTCAACCTAAATGCCTATTTACATTTCCGAGACACAAACACGGGCTGATAAATAGCTGTGTTTGTTAGCTTTGCGTTGACATCCACACGCACCAGGAGACAGCCTGTCTTTGCACGTGATGACCGTAGTGCACGACCGATGCAGAACATTGTTTGGTGAGAGGCTGACCTCTTCTGTTCTGACTGGGGTTCACGTCACCCGCCTGAGAGCCCGTCATGTATCTTTAAGCGTGATTAGTAGGGTGTGGGGCTCAGTTTGTTAGGCCTCTGTGCAGGGTGAGGGACAGGGTCCCAATTTTTTTTTTTTACATAATTGAATAGGTTTGGGTCCAATATGGAAGCTGTCATGGAACCAAAAATCTGTAGTGGCGCCCCTGTCTCCGTGCCTATGATCAGAAAGTTGTCAGTTTGAGTCCCATCCTTGGCAGAATAGCCAAATCTCCTTTGAGCCCTTAAGCAAGGCTCTTAACCCTGAATACATCCAGGGA